ACGTTGAAATTGACCACTGTCCCGTTTGACCGCGAGCTAAAAGCACACACACACACACACGCGCGCGCGCGGGGGGGGGTTGCGAGGGGGGCCTTCGGCCCCCCTCCCCGCACCCACCCCGCCGGTAGGAAGCGTGGACCGTGGTCAATTGTAACGTGGCCAATCGGGACCGTGGTCAATCGGGACCTTGGTCAATTGCAACGTGGTCAATATCAACGTGGTCATACACAACGTGGTCGATATTAACGTGGTCAATCGGGACTGTGGTCAATATTACCGTGGCCAAACGGGTGCCACTCCCTTGAATAAGTTCTCGCTGTTTCCTAACAGACGGTATTTCCAGGACTATGTGCATGCAACTTCAGATAGTAATGCATCTACAAAGAAGTACTATCGGTAAGCTTGAACTTCAGTGTACATGTATGTATGTTAGTTCGCCACAGTGCAAACAACGTTTTTTTAGTTCTAAAAATGTCGAGTTTTGTGGCAAGTAAAGAGTACCAGCTCGACCACCGGGGTTGTGATAATATTATTCTAAAAGTGTCGAGTTTTGTGCCAAGTAAAGAGTACATTATGAGATATTACACACTACAAAAGGTGTGATATCACGTAAAAAACTTACTTTTTTAAAAAAAAGGTAAAAAAGCACCAAGTATAAGCTCCAATTCAACCGAATATATTTTGTTACTGTATCTTTTTTGCAAAAGTATATTCTCTACCAAAATATCTTCTCTACAAAATTATCTTCTCTACAAAAGTAATGATATCAACAAATTGCGCCAAATATAACAACGCCAAAAATGGGATGTTCTGACCATACTTCTCAATTCAATTGGAAAGGGTTCAAAAACAGTTACAGAATGGAAAAAAGTACATCAATACATAAACAATATGTTTTACTTTGATACAATTATAATCTATATAACGTATTTTGTTTATTGTTATAGTCATTCAATGATTGGAAATCAAATACGAAGAAGAAATATTCAATTATTCGCCAAAGCCAAATTGGTACCGGTGGTGGTCCTAGCTGTGGATTAACTTTATCTGATATTGAGTTGCGTCTTCTCCAATTAATGGGCCAAACAGCACTTAATGGTAACGATGGAATAGAGGAATACGGTCTTCCAAAAGAAGTATGCTCTTCAGTATACATTAAAGCTCATATATTGAATTAGTCTAAACGTTGAATTATTCAAATTATTAGACTGTTAGACGATATTTAAGCACTTTTATTCTTTAGAAAGTATGCACATCTAAAATTTATCTAATTACTGGTAAAATTGGGACAAATCTATAATAATGATTATAATTTTAGAAAAGTCCAATGCAGAAGACACGAAAAAATATGGATGCAAGCTTAGAAACAGTTACCTTGACACAACAAGAATCGAACACCGAAAAAGGTCAAAAGAGGAAGTATGAGGACATTGATAAAATAAATAAAAATATAACTGATTTTACTGGCTCTTTGCCAAACGTAACCAGTAGCCGTAAAAGAAATATTGAGTTATCGAGTCAGATTGAAAGAATGAACAATACTACTCTAGATGTTCTAAAAAGTATTGATAACAATATTGGAAGCATTGCAATATTGGAAACATATGAAAAACTTGATTTCACTCTATTTGAATACTGTTGAGGACAAGGAATAACTTTTCCTTTATTAGAAATGGATTTATCCATTGTGATTACTAAATCGTGATTGTGATATAATTATTACCAAAAAGTATAAGTGCTAGAGTACATCATTTCAGTTCACCGCATGATGCATCATTTATCTTTATTTAACATTCATTAAGCAATAAAAATAAATAATGCATCATGCGTGAAATGAAATGCACTGCTACATATAAAGTTTTTATTAAGATTAATAAGAAAGTACATATGATATCCTTGTGATAGAAACTGTTTTCATAATAAGGTTACGTGCAACATTTAAGATATACTTTATTCAGATAAAAAAATCTTTTTTTTATTTCGTTAACGATGGAAAAAGTAGAATGGTCAGGAGAAATAAAAAGCTGCATATTTTAAATATTTCGTTTACCGCTTTTACATATTTTGACTATAGTTAAGTAGTTTTCTTTCTTTCACAATTTAGTTTGCTCCAAACAGTGCATGTGCTATTTCGTATTTCCACTAATCTCATTTTAAGATCAAATTTAACATACTCAATCTTAAACATTCCATATATCTCCATTGAAATGATTAAAGTACAAAATAAGTTTTAAGAAATATTTGGAGAAGAGTATTTATTATAGCTATTACATATTTCCCAGCTAGTAATGAGATATTTGTTTATAGTATGTAATACTATAATATACAAAATAGTATGTAAAACAAAAATACATGTTTACAATATATATTGAAATTATATGTATTAAATAAAATACATTTTTATAATAAACTCTCTTTAGCATTTTATATTATTAACTATTGTTATACCTAGACATTGTCCATAAAATATGTTTCTATACATCGCCTCCTTGCCAATGAACCTGTAAGATATACGTTTTCATCCTGCATAACATCGGCATTATAGAAATAGGCCTCTACTTCTTCATTAACGTTTTGATTAATTAGTAGTCGTCCCTCTATGCAAATGTTATGCAAGATTACACATGCAATAACAATACGTGCTACAACTTGAGGTGTGTAATGCAGCATCCTCTCTCCGAGAATACATCGGAATCGACCCTTGAGTACACCAATGCATCTTTCGATGCAAGATCGAGCTTGACAAAGAGCTGCGGTATAACGGCCCTCTGGTGTATCGGGCAATGCGTTCGCAATGGGTATCATTAGCCAAGGTTGCTGCGGATATCCTGAGTCTGCAATGCACCATGTATTGTGGTCTCCTGCAAAAGAAGCCGAATTACAATTAAACAAAATAGATAAAGCGTTAAAGCGGGGAGCATACACTTTTGCACAAGTGCATAAGCATATGCAGAAAAAATTGATTGGTCCACAACCAAATGCTTAAGGAAATGAACCAATCAAATTCCTTCTGCATATGCTTATGCACTTATGCAAAAGTGTGTGCTCCCCGCTTAAGGGTCTATCCAGACAAATTTGCATATCGCATAAACATAAGCATAAGAAATGAATTGGTCCATATACATATGTATAATTTGCATAATGTGAAATGGATCAATCCATTTCTTTATGTATATGCTTATGTGCTTATTACAAATTTGGCTTGATGGATCTTTATAATTGTAACGGAAATGTATACCTTCAATATATCTACGTTCCATTTCTGCATTGATTTCTGAGTTTCTCCAAATATATGCATCATGAGTAGCCCCAGCATACCGCGCGTTGACATTCATTATTCTTAAATCATAATCGCAGATCTATAATACAAATAAATTAATATAATATATATATATCATTTTATAAATAAGCAGACAAAATATTTTATTATAAACATACGTACAATTTGTACATTTTTTGAGTGAAAGCCTTTGCGATTTAAATAATTATGCTCTTCCTCTGATGGAGCAATCATGGCTACATGTGTGCAATCTACAGCACCGATCGTGTTAGGAAACATAGTTGCCTCGAGAAATCTTGCTTTTTTACGTTGTATATCTGCTACAACTGTTGGAAACACTATCCACTCTTCTGCTAAATGTATGCAGATTAGATTTGATATTTCTGCAAAACGTGTTGATACCGTTGATTGCGCCATTGGGAACAGAAAATTTTGTCCAATCGGCCGCTGGTACGTTCCCGTTGCAAAGAACGCTAATGTTGTAAATATTTTGAGATCAGGTCGAATTGCCATTTGATTTTCTTGGCCGCTTATATATGGCAGTAGTCGCTGAAGTATATAATACACCATATCCTTCGTCAATCGGAATAAATTAATAAAATGTTGATCATATAGTCCAAATATGTCACTTCGAGTTCTTAGAAACCGTCGTTCATTAATATATGATCTAATTTTTACATCAGCTTGTTCCAATTCAAGCAAATGTTGTTGAAATATGTACGCTGGTAGCATCTATTGCAAAATCAAATAAAAGTAAACCATTATTAAAAATAGTTTTTGTATTCAAGCGGATATTATTAATAATAACGTGCAATGGAACATTTTTTTGCATTATTAGAAATACTAACCTTTACACAACCTTTACACTACCTTTACACAACTAATTTGTATTACCCAACGCCGAAATAGAAAAGTATATTTCATGAAAAATTAAACTTTAATTGAATCTGAATCTAATATAAAAATATTTACTTCACTTTCAGATGAGTCTAGTTAAATTCAATAAGACGAGAAAAATCCTATAATAAATAAGCATGAACCATGAAACCTGTAGAGTAGAAACGTATGAGAAGTCGACCGATCGAATTCGATCGTGCACGCAATCGCTCCCCTGGAGCTGATCATATTCGGCAACAGGAGGAACGGAGGATTCACTCGAACCGACACACAGCACGTCAAACACCGAAACCGAAACGCGAACTCTTTCGACCGTAGTCAGAACCGCGCGTCTGATTAACGGGAATTCTTATATCCTGAGTAAGAATTCCTGCCGGAGTCCTGTCCGGAAACCGGAAAGGGGGAACGTTCGTTACAACATTAATCATGTCCAAGCTAAGGAGATTTTAAAACTACTACGAACTCATTCTTGTTTTTCAAAGCTTTCAAAGAACGATTTTGAATACCTCTCGCACGTCATGTCGTATTGATAATATTGCTGGAGGATAATATCTTCATTTAGGCTTTGAAGATGGTATCAAATCTATTCTTCAAATTACTCCTTTGAATATGATTCCAAATAATTTAGAAATTGATTTTCACATAGATGGTGCTTCTTTAGATAGCGCAAGTAATATTCAGTTATATCCAATACAAATTAGAATTGCTAATATTTTTCAAAGCAAGCCAGAAATCATAGGAGTTTGAAAAGGTTCTTCGAAACCTACAAGTGCCACAGAATTTTTAGAACCATTTGTCAATGATGCGTTACGAGTTAGAAATAATGGAATAATTTTTAATAGGAAAACACTGTCTCTTAAGTTTCGTTGCTTTATTGCAGATGCAGTAGCGCGTGCTTTTGTATTAGGACATCAAGGTCATAAGTCTCGAGTTCCATGTTCCAAATGTTGACGTGTAGGAAAAAGTATTCGTCAAGGTGTTATGGTGTTTAGTGGTGTCGATCATAGATTGCGAACAAATGAAGAATATGTCATGTGTTTAGATGGAGAACATCATACTGAAGGCGAATCCAGCATTGCACGTCTTTCTATAGATTTGGTTTGCCTTGGTGTTATGGAAAAATTATTCTTAGCTATTGTTGATGGGAAATATGCTTCTTCTGCAAAATTATCACCTACTTCGATAAAAACTCTTTGGTAAATATGCATAAAAGGTCACACCTCACCGATGTCCTCGGCACTTAGATATGTTGTAGGGGAGAGTTTTCTGAGTAATTCCCCGCAAAAATCAAGTGGGGGACGGCATTGGTTTAGGAGATATAACAAATTGAAATCTAATCTTTGAGCGAGAAAAAGTAATTCGCCAAGACATTGAGTGTCCACAGTGCAAAAATATTGTGAATGTGACATACGAGTCAGACACAT